AACAGATATGAAAGATGAATTTGGGTTCCCTCTAGTTTTGAAAAATATAATTTTCCGTATTTTCTGTATTTAAGGGCGGTTCTTCGCGATTTTGAAAAAATGGTTGGTAATAGAACAATTCTGTCGCTATACATAGGTCTGGTCTCTGGAATAGAAAACTTTTCGTTTTTTTGTGGGTCTGTGTAATTATTTCGTTTAATATTAATTGAGATGTATTTTCTATATTTATCTATTTGACAGTTTTAACTTATTACTATTATTATTATTAAGTAATTATTTTTTGAGAAAATAAATTGAAACAACGTTTTTAGAAGTGTTAGAGTTTTCTGGGAATTATAAATATATTAAGGTTGAGACGCTGTTTTCAAATAGTGTGAGAGATAGAGAAAGGTAATCAAAATAGTATGCCATAAACGTAATGGTTAAAACTGGTATGTATATCATATTTTATACTTTAAAACATAATACTTTTAAAATTATGAAAGACAAATACATTTTTTTTTAATTTTAATGCCCTTCTCACATTATACGCTTAGGTGTAGGAAAATTATCAGATCTAAATTTCAATTAACTAACAAAAAACAGATGTTTCAATTGAACTTGTTATATTCTCAACACTTTGTTAATTAACAATTTCAAGGATGCTTTAGTAAATTAGGTAAATTATAGTGTAACTTAATGCCATTCTTCGAAATAAATAGATTTAAATAAATCAAAAGAGTGAGCTTGAGTTAAATTTACATCGTTAAGTACTTCATTGTCTAAAGAAAAAAATATATATATTAAACTAAACTCAGAAAATGTATTTTTGTTGTACTTATAAATAGGGTGTCCCAAAAATACATAGTTATTTTTAGACCGATTCTCAAATATTGTATCCTCTTTTTATTCTGCACATTATTGGTGAGGAGTAATGTTTAACATTTGTCTTTATTTACAAATTGCCTATTGTCTACAATCAGAAATAATTATTGACATTTCAACGATCATTAACTTGCTACTTGGCTTTCCAGGGTTATATTGAGTTGGTATTTTTCAATTTTAAACAAAAACGTTACTTCTGAGGTTCATTTTAATAAAGTACCTACATTCTACCACTAATGTCTTAGTATTGGCAATTTCATGGAATTCTTTTTAAATGTTATTTTACCCATCAATTATCAGGCACAAAATGTATTGTCTATAATAAGTTTGAGCGGAATCAATATTTGTAGATGTTAAATATGTATTTCCATATTATATAATTTCAAAATTTTCCTCGTCTCATATTTGTAGATGAAACAATGTGGACATCAATGATTGTTTTTAACTATAATTATTTATTATAGACAGTATAAATGTTTTTGGTGGCCCATCCAAAAAAATATTTTGTAGATCAAAATATGAAATGTGATGAGTAATATGAGTAATAGGAGTTAGGTGTGTGAGTCTATTTACGTAACATATAACAAGATGTCCTCCTAACTTTTGGGATATTTAATATAATACATTTGGACTCGACTCACCATTACGATAGAAAATAAAATCCAGATAGATTATATTGTGCTTCCCCTTTTATCTTTTATCAGAACAACACAATACATCAAATTACACAATTAATGTTAAAAAAATGTTTCTGTCGTAACTTAAATTGGCTTAAAGTCAAATGAAAAAATAATTAATTTTTCTGCTTTGTTTATTTCCGTTCCTTAGAAATACAGGGTGTTCCAAGTAAAACTTCCCACTTGGAAAATAACGGAATTAAAAAAAAAAACAAAAAACCTGAGACAAGTCGATTTTCTTTTCAAGGGGAACACATGATGGCGTGAGTTTTGACGTTTTGACCCCTTAGGCAGAGGCGTAAGATACCCTTAAACTTTAAATGGCAGCCTATGTTGAGTGACACCTCATTTTAAAACTTTTTCAATTCTGCTCACGATGCATACAACTTTTCAAATTTTGATTTGGTTCCGCTTCCATACATTCATAACATTTCTAAGCATTTTGGGCGTTATTTAGCGATATTCTTCAACAATTCTCCGAAGAAGCATACATTTTCGACTTTAAGTGCCCCCATAGATAAAAAGTCTAAGGGCGTTAGATCTGGCGATATGGCAGGCCACTCAATTCAATTTGAACACTAAATAAAATAACATTCTTTCATTCATTGATATAAAATCATGAATTATTCTTTAAGTGATGATTTTATAGTCATATCCTAACCAAAATTTAAAAAGTCGTATGTCGTCGTGATCAGAATTGAAAAAGCTTTAAAATGAGGTGTCACTCAACATAGGGTGGTGCCATTTAAAGTTTAAGGGTATTTTACACCCCTGCCTAAGGGGTAGCTTCCAAGACACCAAAACTTACGCCATCACGTGTCCCGCTTGAAAAGAAATCGACGTGTCTCAGTTTTTTTTAGTTTTCTTTTAATTCCGAGTTTTTCCAAGTAGGAAGTTCTATGGAACATCCTGTATATCTAAGTGTGAAATATTTCTGGTTAGGTTGTAAAATCGACCCTTTATCTGATCATTTTGGCGCAAGGGGTTAATTACTTATATACATTTAAATAAAACGAAAATGCCACAAATAAATAATTGTTGGTAATACCTAGTGAACATTATCAACTCTCTGAAGATCGGTGTCCCATTCTATAACCAAGTCAATTAACTTAGAATAAAGATGTTAAATTTTACTTTTACTTTAATAATTTTAAGGTAGATTAGGTTCTGATTGAAATTACTTACCCATCAACGTAATAGACAAATCAAATCATGATCTTAAACTTCCACATAATGGTGAAGATTCTAGTGATGCATAAGTTTTTACAGGCGGTATTCAGTAAATATTTTTCTCGAGGTATCACTGTGGTTTCTTAGTTCATATTGTCATATTCACCAGAAGGAAGTTTCTGAAGCAGAACCAAAACGAGGAAACGTTAAGGAAATCTTGGTTTGCAGTCTTTCGTTGCAGTTGTCAATGACAATATATCGTCCTTTTGTTCAGAAGAAACTCTGACAGTGAGGAATAAGTCCTTTGGTTGGTATTTATATCTGCTGTTTACCTCATCTATACGTTCTGGTGTATGACTTGCAGTCATTGGACTGTAGCGCTCTGCCCCTGCGGATGAGTCGTTTCCAAATTCCAGGTAATGTTTACCCTTCTTCGCGAATGAAATTATTTGGGTTCTTCTGGATTTCTATTGCCTCCCTGTAGAGTCTTGACCATAACCTATCTGTGTCTCTCTAGAATTCTGATATTAGTTAGGTCCATCACGTGCCCTCTATCTGTTGGTTTGGAAGAGTCTGTCCCTATGTTCCTTGAAGTGTTGTGGAAGGTATTAATCCTGTGTTCCCTTAAGATGCAGCTTATGTCCTGGAATCAGCAACTCTAAAGATCAAGTTTTGGCATAGGTATAAAGACAAAATATTTATTATCTGGTCCCATAAAAGAGATGTAGTTCCTAAACCACATCAGTTTAACCATGGAAATGGAACAAAAAGGTACTCTGCATTCCTAGATATGCTTGTCAATAGAACCAGATGGCACCTTGGAGTTTACAGGAAGCCAATTCACGCGGATATAAACCTAAACAGTGAGTCTCATCCCCACAACACAGCCCAGAAACAAGGCTTTGACAATGACATCAAACACGGATCTTCTGCGAGGCAGAACCGAGACCAGAACATTTATATCAAGAACTGCAGCACATTACGATATATTAGAAGGAATGGTGATATAGGTATGAACAGCAATACCAAACGAGTATAGCAATATCTGACAATGTATCTATCACATATATAACAGCTACAGGAACGATCTACACTAGGGAGGCGATAGAAATCTAGAACAATTGAGGTAATTTCGATGAAGATGAGAAGGTTAGATCAACCTGGAATTTGGAAAGGACTAGAACGACAGGGACCAATCACTAGACCGGAACTGAATGAACTATGAATATAGCAGGTATAAATACCAACCAGAGGAGTTTCAGAATTTCTTTTGAAAAAAGTCGACGTCGTGGCAACCAGCTCAGAAATTATTCAACCGTCAGAGAAATATAAATGCCCATGGAGACACCTGAAAGAAATCCAAACCATTGCCACACATTCTACGCAAAATTTTTGTGATTATATTTGATGACTACGATGACGAATATGGTATGGAATATGGTATATCTCTGAAATCATTGACCCTGTGCAATTAAAAGTGTGCCGACATTTAAAAAACCTCGATTCGTCTCGATGTTTTATTCCGCAAGCTCCTTCATTAATTTGCATTTAATTACTTTCATGTGGTATTTCAGTTGTAGCAGTAGTTGTCACCCGCAGCATATTTGCGTAAAAGATACATCAGATTGCATTATGCAACGTTTCGGAGCGAATTTTATTCCAATCTCAAGGAGAACGCCGCTATTAAAGAATTACCCAACAATGTCTCCGTACAATTAATCAATATTCTAATGGTCGGTTAATGTTAAAACATTTGTGTTAATTATTTTCATTTTTAATTTTACATGGTAATAACGTTTTAAATTGCCATACAAGGCGTCTGAAAAAAAGTTTGCTGGTAATTCCATACTAAAATACTAGTTTTTATTAACAGGACCACAACTTTCTTCCAGTCGACCGATTTTATTTTATTATTTTTTAATGTTAATAATTTTTTTTCTATATTCTAGTTAAACATATTTTTTTCTTAAATAACGTTTTAATTTAAAAAAGTGTCAAATTGCTGAAGAAAATTAGATTTAAGTCAATCAGAACCAAACATTTAAAGGTGTATTTAAATCATGTCACTCTGTTAAACTTATTTCCACAAAATTATTCAACCAAATTAGGTACAGACCAACACAAATAAGATTGCGTCTGAGACAGCTCCGCCCACAAATGCGAATGTGCTCTCTCTCAATCCCGGGCAGCTCTGCTCGAGTCAGAAATGCAAACTTTGTGTCGGTTTGTACCAGTTTAATATTTATTATAGTTACAGAAAATTTATAGTAATGAGTTTGTTTCTTACAGGATAGCCTTGGCAATTCCATCAGAAAATGAAGGATTCGATAGATGTCACATGTACGATGTGAATTTTACTGAAATACTGGAAAACGGCGGCAAGAAGGCTAATCCTACTTGGAAAATTATTCCATGTAAAAATGGATGGGAGTACAATAAGACCGAAATACCGTATTCCTCAATTTCTACAGAGGTACGTATTATATGATTACGTCATAAGAGTGTTAAAGTCAAACAAACAGACGAAAAAGAAGAACGTTTCTTTTAATATAACTCTTAGACCTTTTAAAAGGAGGCAAAATAATTTTTTTACCTGTTTTTCAATAACATTTGAAATTATTGTATGCATTATAGTTTCTACACAAAATTTGACTATAACCAGTAGCTAAAAAAATTAGGCTGTGGTTTTAGAAGCTTACAATATTAGAAAATATTATTGTCACGTTTCCTATTGCAAATACCAAAAACATCTATTAAAAAAAATTAAAAATGCTGACTGCATTAGAATTAAACAACCAGTGGAAGAATAGGGAACAATGACTGTATCAGTCCACCAGTTTATATGTATTCAATTTGCAACTGGACACATTTCGCTGCTTTTAAATACAGTGTGTCCAATTAAATCGGCACCATATGGGAAACTTTTTTATTATATTGGTTTTTTGAAAAAAAGTTATTCTTAATAAAAAGTTCTGCATGGCCTAAAACTCAAAATGAAGTAATCAGATTTCATTTCATTTTGCAGTAGTATACGAGGTTTGTCGAAAAATGTAAATGCTCAAAAGTAAAGTACCTTTATTTTTTACAATATTTACAATCAGTTGATTTCAATAGATCTTTAATAATCTTTGGGTATAAACATAGGAAATCCACAAATAAATTATAATTTAATTTTGCAAATTATAAAACATTTATTGTAAGAGTGTAAAAATAACAAAAATCTGTTTTTTAATGGTACATGAATAATATTGGATATCTGACCGTAGTTTTCTATTAGGATTAACTTTTCTTAATAACGATTGTGGATATTGTAAAAAATAAAGGTATTTTACTTTTGAGCAAAATTTTTCGACAAACCTCGTATACGACTGCAAAAAATTGAAATCTGATTACTCCAATTTGGGTTTTAGGCCATGCAGAACTTTTTATCGAGAATAATAATTTTTTCATAAAACCAATAATAAAAAAGTTTCCCATATGGTGCCGACTTAATTGGACACACTGTATATTTTGTAATACTGACATGTATTGATTCCAATTATATTTATAAATTTTGTTCTATGAGATGAGTTAAAAGAATGTTTGTTCCGAAGGTATTTTTGTAAAAATCTACTAAAGAAGTGTGTCCAAATAAAGTAATGACATACATATGATATGTCTATTATTTATCTTTCAAAGTTTTGACTATATAGGCCAGGAAATATAGAGTTGGATGCGACTTTTTGTTTCGGCAAGCTGAATTTATCACTATAGATGCTAAATATTATGTACAATAACATACTAGTTTTCACAGTCAAAAAAATGGGGGGCAGATTGTTTACAGGGTGGTTAGTTGTATAATTTTTACGTAAATTTACGTTTTTCGCTTCATTTCAACGAGCAAACAGTAACGTACTTTTTTTCGTCTTCAAAAGACTTATAAATAAAAATATTGATTAGATCAAAAGTTATAAACAGAAGAAGTTTATTTATGACTTTTGAATTAAACATTTATAAACTGCATTATTATTACCAGAACGTTTTGGCATCACATCCTCTCATTCTTTATCACTGTCTAATAACTCACACGAAATCTGGAATCGGTAAGTTGAATAGTTTACAAGTTATGTTCTTATAAACAAATCAACTAATTGTTAGTCTGGACGATCCCGAGCATCTTCCACAATCGCACTGATTTTTTTCATGGTAGATTTCATAATAATACAATGAAATCTATAATTTTTTTTTCTTAAATTTCAAATTTGCAATCTGGAATTTTTTCTATTTTTTAGCCTTAATTGTAAAATGAAATATACGACACACGCGCGTGGTATAGTTATATATTATTACATATTCGGAAAGCTTATGAAAAGAGCTTTAAGTTAAAAAAAATCGTGAAGATTCGTTGAAAAGCAACGGAGTTAAGACTGTCAAATATATTATTTTCAAGCGAATTACGCTTTTTTAACGGCAGTACTATGAATATTATCGTCATTTTCTTTGGACTCGCTGTCGTTCGCTTCCCCCACCCTTCCGCTGCGCCACGGCTCGCCGAAAAATCAAGCGACCGACTGACTTTTGACAATATTTCTTATGTACTTAACCACATAAATAATATATTTTTATCTGGGAAAGTACTCGGGTTGCCGGTTATTTTTTTTGCGGCTACAAATCTAATTTGTTTAATAGGCTGTCAACTTTGACAGTCTGTATCTCCATTGTTTTTCAACGAATCTTGACGATTTTTTTTTAACTTAAAGCTCTTTTCATAAGCTTTCCGAATATGTAATAATATATAACTATATCACGCTCGTGCGTTGTATATTTCATTTTGCAACTAAGGCTAAAAAATTAAAAAACATTCTAGGTTGCAAATTTGAAATAAAAAAAGATGATAGATTTCTATGTATTATTAGGAAATCTACCATGAAAAAAGTTAGTGCGATTGTGGAAGATCCTCGGGATCGTCCAGACTAATAATTAGTTAATTTGTTTATAAGGTCATAACTTGTAAACTATTCAACTTACCGATTCCAGATTTCGTGTCAGTTATTAGACAGTGATAATGAATGAGAGGATGCGATGCCAAAACGTTCTGGTAATAATAACGCAGTTTATAAATGTTTAATTCAAAAGTCATAAATAAACTTCTTCTGTTTATAACTTCTGATCCAGTCAATATTTTTTGACGAGGGCTAGTTTTGTAAGTCTTTTGAGGACGAAAAAAAGTACTTTACTGTTTTCTCGTTGAAATGAACGGAAAAAAATATAAGCGAAAAACGTGAATTGACGTAAAAATTATACAATTAACCAGCCTGTAAATAATTTTCCCCCCATTTTTATGACTGTGGAAAATAATATGTTATTGCACATAATATTTAGCATCTATAGTGATAAATTCAGCTTGCAGAAATAAAAAGTCGCGAAATGGTCATTTCCCAGCTCTTTTTCCTGGCCTATATAGTCCAGGGTGATTATTTAAATTTTGAATATCACTTTTCCTCTCTCTAAAATACTTATAGTTGACATTATTAAATTAATAAACACTAATACTCCGGCGTTACTTTTGGGTCACCCTTTTTATAAACCTGTAATATACAATATGTTTAACTTGAACAGCACCTTCCAAGGATTAGTCATGGGTAATTAATATAGAAATATTTAAAAACTTCTATTTAACAATTGATTTTATGATATTTTTTTGCAATATCAGTTTTATTTCATATATTTACGTAACCTAAGATCAACATTTCAATTTTTCTCATTTCTGACTTGATTTACCTACTTTGGTATTACCCTAGATATTTAGGTGCGTCATGACGCCCTTGAGTAACAACATTTCTTTATAGTGATTTTATTGAATCCAACTTATGTAGAAGGTGAAAAGAGCATTTATTTATATTAAATCTTTTATACTGCTTTCTACAAATGCAATGAATTAGCATTAGAATTATTAAAATATTACTAATTAAATAAACATATTTAAATTATAACACATAACACAACGGTCTGCATACCTCCCATACCTATACTACCTTAATAAAATGCTGTGACTTATAATAGTGTGTTAAAGCCGTTTGCTGAATCCTACTCGAATATTTATTACTTATAGCTTTAACATTGCTAATAATTAAAACGAGTCTTCATGTTTTTGAGCATACATCTTTATTATGTATTAACTATTCATACTGATGTATAGTAGTGTGTAAGTGACAGTGGTTAACTATGAATAAAGATACAAATAACCCATTCCTGAAAGAATCTTCATTAAATCAATTAATAAGTCCCTTCGGTTCCCTGATTTTACACCCATAGATGTTTTCCTGTAGGGTTGATAAAAGGTCATTATAATGAGCGTGTTCTTAATTTCTTTTTTCTGCTATTGTTAGCCCATGTCCTTTAGCCGTGGGCAGCTGTGACCATTTTTTAATGCAAAAATTAGAGAATCACTTTTAAAAGTCTTTTCATTTGTGCAAAAATCCAACGGTAAAGTACATAATTTTTTACAAAATAGTACTAAATTTTATAAAATCATACCACGTCATGTCCTTCAAAACCAGTAAAGCACTATAAATTTTGCAAATGTAAATCAAAATCTGAAAGAACGACTTTCTTAAATTTTCTTTTGCGTCCAGGACAGAGGAACATTTTTTTGATGCGAGTTGAAATTATCGATAAACTTGTTCTTATTTTACAGAGACATAAAAATCATTTTCTTGATGGGTAGGTAATAACTCCAAAGACAACTCATCTACTACATAAATAACTCCATAAGAAGAAGGAATATAGCTCAGTATAAAATCCTCATTGAGCTCAAAGTACATGGATGGAAATTAGAATAGGGAATATGACGGGAAATTTTATACAATGCGTATATTAGTTGAAAGGAATAAATTGCTGCTATGTTGATATTGTAAAGACCTTATGAAACTCAATTATATTAGTATCGCCTGCAACTATCTAAAAGACAGTTAGGACTGCTTTGCTAGTTGAATCACTAGACATATATTTATTTATACTTATCAGGTAATGACAAATCCAGCTGTTGTGCCTTTACCACAGACAAAGTGCTTATATGGGAGGGTATACAGGGTGGTCCGAATTTTATGCAGGAAACTTCGAGAGTAGATAGATCTCTTTAAAATAATAGGAGTTTGCCTCATAAACATAGGTCCGGAATTGCCTCGTTTTAGAGATACAGGTTGTTGAAGTTGTTAAAAAAAATTGATTTTTTGTTTATATCTCCGGAATCCATTAACCGATTTCAATATAATTTAGTACAGATAATGTATGATAGTAGGCCTTGTATTCTCTATAATATGAGCTCTAAAGGTCCAACCAGTGGTGTATAACTGGACAGGGTCACCCCTTTTTTTATAAAAAAACTACACCACTGTATTTTTTACAAGCTGTTGTACCGAATTTATATTCTAATGCACAAAATACGTAAAAATGGTAACTTGAATTTGTTCCCTAAAGTTCACCTTTCTCAAG